GGTCTTTTTAAAAATTATTACTTATTTCACATTTTCAATCATTTTGGACACACTTATATTGTAGCCTGGGGGTTCCTTCTCAGAGGCAGGGGATATGAGGAGGGAATTCAGACAGGGCCATGATGTCACAGGATGTCAGTACGGATAGCTTTCCTGCAGTGGCAAAGCCAAGACGGGTTGGCACCACCGTCTTCTAATGCCAGGGCCACCTCAACTTTGAGCAAGGACTCCAGGGGACCAGAGGCTGGAGCACTTCCTCGGGCCAGCCCGTCTCCGTTATATTATTACCACGATTGTTTCTGCAAACAAAACTCAGGTTTCGGTTCACAGCACCACCTGTTTGCCATGGAAGAGAGCAATGAGTGGTAAGAAGAATAAAGTAAAAGCCCTCACAATCCTGGTTCCCACGCTTCGCTGCCCCGACCACACTGGCTCAGCTCCCGGGCTTCGTTCCCGGCTTGATCATTCTCCATAGCGCTGAGCACCACCGGGCACCCTGCGTATCTTACTTATTTATGACAGTCTATGCATCTACGGGAGCGTGCCAACTCAACAGCAGCTGGCGCTTTGTCTAGCTCCCTGCTGGACCTGCCACGTGCGGGGGCGGGGGCTGGCGTGCCATGCCCTTGGCCAGTACCGCCCAGCACCTCTGTGGCGGAGGAGCGGATGTGTACTTCCACCCCATTCGTCCTCACAGCGATCTTATGAGGCAGGTCTATAGTACCCCTACCCTACAGATGAGCAGACTGAGACTCTGGGGGCCACCACCTGTCTTTCCGCCCTGCCCCCTGCCATCCGCGATCGCACTGCTGTGGCTGCAGCCCACCCCCTCTGTTCCCCTGAGCCCCAAGTCACACACCCAAGCCCTGCGCACTGTGTGCTTTGAAGGACATCACTGTTACTTTTATGCAAATGGCCTTCACTCAGGGCCAGGGAAAATGGAGAGAAGACTCACCTCCAACCTCCATCCCCCGAGGCTCCTCACACTTTTCTAAGAGAGCCACCAGTTAATGAACACGGGCATCTGTTTCCTCAAACATGCACCCCATGTCCCCTACCAAAATGCAGCAGACTCCTAGGCTATCTTGCAGGTGAAATGTGGACCCTCACCTGGGTTCAAACCATGGTTCAGGCTCGTAACATAACCTCACCGTGCCTCTATTTTCATCCGCAAAGTGGGCATAGTAACCCCTACCTCATAGAATTGTTTGGGGATTCAGTGAAATTATGTATGTAAAGCAGCCAACATCGTGTCCGGCACACAGTAAGTGGTCATTTAAATGACTGTACAGTTAGAAACCTCTGCCCTTGGGGCGCCTAGGGGGCGCAGTTGGTTGAGTGTCCAACTACAGCTCAGGTCATGATCTCACAGTTCGTGGCTTCGAGCCCCGCGTCGGGCTCTGTGCTGACAGCTAACTCAGAGCCTGGAGCCTGCTTCACATTCTATATCTCTCTCTCTGACCCTCCCCTGCTCATGCGGTCTTTCTCTCTCAGAAATAAATAAAAACATTTTAAAAAATGTTTTTTTCTGCCCTTCACCTTCCACAGCTCTCTGCAACCCAGCCTTTGTAGAAACTGAACTCCTTTAAAAACATTTTTTTAAACATTTATTTATTGTTGAGAGACAGAGTGCAAGCAGGGGAGCGGCAGAGAGAGAGCAACACAGATTCCAAAGCCGGCTCCAGGCTCCGAGCTGCCCGCACAGAGCCGGATGCGGGGTCTGAACCTACGAACCACAAGATCATGACCTGAGCCGAAGTCGGATGCTTAACCGACGGAGCCCCCCAGGTGACCCCATGTGGAACTCAGAAACTCCTTTAAAAAAAAGTTTAGGGGCGCCGGTGGGGGCTCAGTCCGTTGAGTGTCTGACTTCAGCTCCGGTCATGATCTCACAGTTCGTGGGTTCGAGCCCCACGTCGGGCTCTGTGCTGACAGCTCGGGGCCTGGAGCTGCTTCAGATTCTGTGTCTCCCTCTCTCTGCCCCTCCTCCGCTCACACTCTGTCTCTTGAAAATAAATAAACATTTTTTTAAAAGTTTATTTATTTATTTTTGAGGCGGGGAGGGGCAGAGAGAGAGAGGGAGGGAGGGAGAGAGAATCCCAAGCAGGCTCCATACTGTCAGTGCAGACCCCGACACAGGGCTTGAATTCGCAAACTGAGAGATCATGACCCAAGCAGAAATCAAGAGTCAGATGCTTAACCACCCAGGTGCGCCTCTTTTTTTTCCTACGTTGTTCTGAGGGCTGGTGAGTCGATTCTGGGAAGCTGGGGAGGATTCAGTGACTAAATGTTTATTCATTCATTCATTCATTCATTCACGCAAGCAAGAATGCCCACACCAGCAGGGGAGGGGCAGAAAGAGACAGACAGAGAGAGAGAGAGAGAGAGAGAGAGAGAGAGAGAGAATCCCAAGCAGGATCTGGCTGTCAGCACAGAGCCTGACGCAGGGCTCGAATCCACAGGCCGTGAGATCGTGACCTGAGCTGAAATCAAGAGTCAGATGCTTACCCAAACTGAGCCACCCAGGCGCCCTGCAATAACTAAACTTTTGAGAAACTCGCATATAAACTCTAATGCAGTAATTTAAACTGCTCTGTGCCTGGGGCGCCTGGGTGGCTCAGTCAGTTAAGTGTCCGACTTCGACTCAGGTCATGATCTCACAGTTCGCGGGTCGGGCTCTGTGCTGACAGCCAGCTCAGAGCCTGGAGCCTGCTTCGGATTCTCTGTCTCTGTCTCTCTGACCCTCCCCTGCTCACGCTGTCTCTCTCACAGAAATAAATTAAAAAAAAAAAATTTTTTTAAGGCTCTGTGCCTCCCGGGGCCTTGGAAGTGGAGGAGGCAGTTGAGGCCCTGCCCCCCACCACCCCGCCCCCATCCTGGCCTGAATTCGGGTTTAGGGCAGAGGCCAGGCTTTAAGGCTTCCTGCAGGGTTTCGTGCGGGGGGGGGGGGTGGAGGGGAGGGGGGGGGACAGCTGCCTTAGCTGGAGGAGGCCTGGGTGACCTGAGGTTTGCAGTTGCGGGCTAGATAGGCGAGCTCAGGGACTGTGAGATCATGCCCTGCTCACGCTGTCTCTCTCACAGAAATAAATTAAAAAAAAAAAATTTTTTTAAGGCTCTGTGCCTCCCGGGGCCTTGGAAGTGGAGGAGGCAGTTGAGGCCCTGCCCCCCACCACCCCGCCCCCATCCTGGCCTGAATTCGGGTTTAGGGCAGAGGCCAGGCTTTAAGGCTTCCTGCAGGGTTTCGTGCGGGGGGGGGGTGGAGGGGAGGGGGGGGGACAGCTGCCTTAGCTGGAGGAGGCCTGGGTGACCTGAGGTTTGCAGTTGCGGGCTAGATAGGGGGGGACGGGAGCAGGAGAGGGCAGTCATTCATGCCAGAGACCCCCCCGCCCCCATAGACCCTGGGGACAGAGCCCTGCTGTCACGGAGCTGCCACACGCGCGGGGACGGCCAATAAACAGGCCTGTAAGTAAGAGACGCAGGCAGGGGGTGGGTCATGACCAAGTTGAGGTCATGGGCCCGGCCTTTCGCACACACCCCTTTCCCTCCCACAGCAGAAGCTCAGGCCCTATTTCTGTACTCCTTTGACAGATGAGGAAACTAGGGTCGGAGAGATTAAGTGACTCCATTCCGGGCACTGAGCAGTCCCCAGAGGCCCCACCTCAGTGGTGGTGAAACTTCAAAAGCCTGGGCTGATTGGGGGACAGTCACTGGGGCCACCCTGCGTTTCTTCCCAAGGCAGCCCTGCCTGCCTCTCGAGAGGCCCCAGGGAGGGGCTGCTGCACCACCGCACCAGGCCTGACAGGTGGTTGCCAGGGGCTGGGACGCCCAAAGGCCAGTCTCTGTCACATTCCTCTTACAGATTCTGCTCCTAGAGACTTCCAGCCTCACGGAAGGTTACCTACCGAGCCACCTGGGCAGCACGAGTGGCATGCAGCACCAGTGGGCACGAGGAAGGGAAAGGTGCGGGCCTGGGTCCTTCCACCAAAGCCAGGTCCCCAGGGAGCGCCCAGGTTGCTGCTAGATTCCTGGTGCGGGTGCTCTCTGGATCAACAGGCTGCCCAGGGGGGTCCTGAGGGTCCCAGGCATTCGGTCTGCAGCCTTGACAGCCTCTGTGGGCTCCAACCAGGCTCTGTAAGGCCAAGACCAGGTGGAGGGGCTCTTTGGTTTGGCCTGAGGAGGAGTGAGGTGGGATCGTCCGGGATGTCCCTGAGGAGGAGACCCAGGTGACAGAAAGGAACGTAGCCTTGGAGATGACTAACACACGAATCTGTAAACCCCGAGGCGTGCGGTCAGGACCTCGGGCCTAAGGCGTCAACCTGCAGATTCTTACCATACGCTCCTTGACCTTCTCCCACTTTGGAAACTAGAAAGGCAGGGTTTTCCCCACCACTGCCTTGCTCTGGAGGCTTGCCCGGGTTGGGTAAGGGGTCCTGGGCTCCCAGGGAAGGGGTGGCGTGGAGGGTCGGGGCAGGTATCGGCCTCTCCTGCAAACAGTGTTTCCAAGGACCCTGGGGCGCTGACATCTCAGCTCTCCCGCATGCTGGCTCGGTGACCCGGGGCAAGTCACTCCACCTCTCAGAGCCTCAGTTTCCTCACCAGTAGGGCAGGTGGGACATTCTGGGAGGACACAATGGCTGAACGGGCTCAGGGGAGCCCGCACTCACTCTAATACTATGAAGATGTGTGCATTTCGGGTGGTAGAGCTCCTATGCACCCTGAAGTATAAACCCAGTGACCCCAGGCCCTTGGGATCCCCAGGGCCATCCTACACAAGGAAATGACCTTGCAGTAGGCAGGTTCAGCCAGCGGAAGAAAACCGGTTCTTGGACGGTTTTATGGCAGTGTCACCTACAGGACCCGCGTCCACCTTACATTACAGCTGGATAAAGGTGTACTTGTGTATACACCGGAGGAACGGCCACCCAAAACAAGACCCGAAACGTGTCTACGAGCTGAGCTTTTCAAAATACACAACAAGAGCCAAGGGTCCCTGTTTTTACCTTTGCGGCCCACTCCTGGAACCTCAGGGCGGGGACCTTTAGCTCAGTCCTGCTCTTCACGGGGCAGACGGGGAAACTGAGGCTGGCGGACCAGAGCTTTGTGCAGGGCCGTGAACATCCCCAGCTCGGGCGGCTCGGCGCCTTCTCCCACGCGGGCGGAACGGGCCTCTCCAGCCCGCGCGCCAGGGGGACGCGAGCGGGGCGCAGGGCCCAAGCCGAGGAGGGTAGACGGAGGGGGCGCGGCCGAGCGCGGCTCCTCCCCGGGCGGGGCCGCCCCTGCGCGCGCGCGCCGACGCCCCGCCCCCGCCCTCCGCGCGCGCCCCCGCCGGGCTAATTAGGCGCGCGGTTTGTTTACAAACACGGGGCTGGGCAGGTGCGCGCCGCCCCAACGATGCGCGGCTGGGGTTCGGGGGCGGCCTCCCGGGCTCCGGGGTCCCCTGGCGGGAGTGGGGCGCCGCCCGCGCTCCTGCCTTTTCCACGCCTTTTCCACGCCTCCCGCGGGCACCAGGAAATTCGCCCGTGGGCGCGAGTCCCCTGCGCGGCGGGGCGGGCGGCGGGGACGCAGGGCTGGCCGCGCGGGCCCGGGCCGGGGGGCGCCCGCCGGGGGTCCCCGCCCCGCCCCGCCCCGCGCGCCCCCCGGGCCGGGCCCGCTCGCGGCCGGGTCGGCGGGGCGGGCAGCGGGCGGGGGCGCGCGGGGCGGGGCGCGGCGCCGGCGGGGCCGGGACATGTAGTCCGCGCGCCGCGGCCTCCCCTGGGCGGCCCCAGCGCGGGCCCGGCCGCGGACTACGACTCCCGCCAGGCGCCGCGGCGCAGCGCATGAGCCCTGCTCGGCTCCGGCGCGTCTATTATGCTGCCGGGGCCGGCGAGCCAAAGAGGAGCCGGCCGCGCGGGCCGGGAGGGACGGCCGCAGGAGCCGCCGAGGCCAAGTACGCCTTTCTCTTGCTTCCTTGCGCGCGCGGGGCGGCGGGCGGCGCGGGCGGCGGCGGGCCGGGCGGGCCGGGGAGCGCGGCCCCGTGCGTCCCGCGCGGGCCGCCGGCGCGTCCCGGGAGCCGGGCGCCCGGGCCGCCGCCGCCGCCTTTGTGCGCGGCCACGATGCAACAAAGCGCGGCGGCCGCCCGGGGTCGCGGCGGCGGCGGCGGCGGCGCGGGCTCCCTTCCCTCCCCTCCGCCCTCGCCCGCGCCCTCCCGGCCGCCCGCGCCCCGGGCTGGGGGCGTCGCCGCAGCTGGGGCGCGCAGCCCGGAGTTGGCACGGCCAGCGCGCCCCGCGCCAACCCGGCCTCCCGCGCCCTCTCTTGCGGAAGGGATTTTTTTCCCCCTTTCCTCTGCCCGCCATCTTTCGGAGGGGGGAACGGGGGAGGACGCGGAGGGGAAGGTGCGCGGCGGCGTCCCGGGCCCGCCGTGCGCGCCGGCGCCACTTTCCCGGCGCCCGCCCGCCCTGGCCGCGGGCCCCTCGGGGCTCGCGCTGGGGGCCCGGCGCCGCCGCCGCCACCGCCGCCCGGGCGGGGGGCGAGACCAGGCCGGGCCCGCCTCGGGCTGGCGCGGGGGCAGCTTCCCCCCAGAGTTAGGGGCCCGGCGCCGACTTCGAGCCCCTCTGAGTTGCTGGGTCGTTGCAGCCAGGCGGGGAGGAGACCCAGTTCCCGTTTTGAAATGAGCCTGAAAAGCGCTTAATCCGGGCGAGGTCGACATGGAGCGGGAGGAGCGGGGTGCTGCTCCTCTTTCCCGCTCGGGGTGGGCACCGGCGTGGCCGTGGCACAAGCCCGTCCGGGAGGAATGCCCGCCACGCAGACCTCGAAGGTCCCCGTGGCCCCAGTGGGCTCCTCCGTGAATAAAGCTGGGGGCCGGGGGGGGGTGTTTCTCTCTCTCTCCACCGGTTGCTCATATGGGGGCAGGGCTAATGTGGAGGCCTTGGGCGGCCTCCTTTCCCTCGGGGGCCCAGGGACAGTTTTGGGAAGACGAAAAGTGGGGACACTGAGTGCGGTCCGCTAGGTGGCCCGCTTGGGGCTCCTCCGAGGAGTTCTCTGTGTTGAGCTCATACCCCCAGTGTCCCGCGACCCCGCGTTGTGGCTGGAAGCTTTCCGCCCAGACGTGCACAACTGTTAACTTGGTTATTGACTGCAAAGTTAACGGGGTGGGTGTGGGGCGGGGGTCGGGCATCAGTGGGCAAACAGGCAGGAGGAAAAAGAGGGAAGGGATCCCTCGGGCCCCTCCTCCCGCTCCCCCACCCCACTGAGGACGAAGAAGGGAGTTTTGTTGGCTTTTTCCCTTACTCTTATTTAACATGGGGCTTCTTTTCCTGGGTCCGTGGAGTGGCCCTGGGTGATCCTGAAGTCTAGCAAAGTTGCCTTGCGTTTTAGGGGCGGGGGGGAGTAGTTTTGGCGGTAAAGGGGTCAAGGGAAGGTCTGAATCCGTGCAGGGGGTCAGTTCTCCGGAGTGAGGACCTCCCCTCCTTCCCAGGGCCCCTTCGCAGCAGCCCTGAAGGTGGCCTCTCGTTTGCAAATAAAACTCTGTTTGCCCTTTTCTGTCTTGAGGCCTTGATGTGTGCTGGTGGTTACAGATAAGGAAAGATAGGGCACACGGTGGGGAGGGGCAGGAGGTGACGTGGGCAGCGGTGGGGCATTTCTCTCTGACCTTTCTGGTGACCCGGAGGGGGGGCATGCCTCACCCCCCGGGTATCTGGAAACTGCCTCCAAGCAGCCCCTCAGGCCTGGATCCTGTCCCAGCCCTGCCACAGGGACGTCCAGGGAAGTGGGATTTAGACCCTTTTTTGGGGTGGATGGTCGGCACTGTTTTGATTTTTGTTTTGTTTTTAGGGGGTAGAGTAATTGATTTCCTCCAGCAACAGCTCACGCGTGCTTTGGAAGTGAGCTTCGAATAAAGGACGGGATTTGTAAACACTCGGCTCCCGCCTTTGACTCATGGGCCGTCCTGGGCAGAAAGTGAAAGTGGGGGGGTTGCCCCCCCCCCCCGCACCGCCCAGCCCAACTCCCTGCTGCAGCCAGCGGCTCCTTCCTGTGCCCTCCGCCTGCAGGCTGGCGAGTTGCCAGACGCCAGAGCCCGGTGCCCAGCAAGTGGTGAGGTGCACGGCCACTTCCTGGTTCTAGGTTGTGGAGCCTTCCTGGGGGAGCCCTGCCCCCTCCCCCCCATTCCCCGGGCAGAGTGGACTGATTGGTAGAGACTAATGGGACCCCGCCTCGGTGCCCAGCTGCGGTGTCTGGCTTTCCGTCCACTGCTGGTGGGCCCTGTTCTCGGAAGAGCAGCACTCTCTCTTCGGGTCCTCGGGAAGCCTGGGCCGGGCCAGGAGTGGGGGGCTGCCCAGACCCAAAGCCCCCCCCCAAGTGGCTGCTGGTGGCAACCGGCCTGAAGCCCCCTGTGGGTTTCTTGAGTTTGGGGGTAGTTCAGGCGACTGGCTCTGTAGTGGGGGGAGGGGGGGAAGCCTGGTCCTTTTTTTCTTTTTTTTTTTTCCCTCTCGCTAACTGATCCTTGAGCTGTAACCAGGGGCACCCCAAGGCAGACCCCAGATACCTTGCCTCAGCAGGCCAGCGGCCAGTGGAGCGTTCTTTGTTTCACAGGGAAATGTTGGTGAACGAGTGCAGAAAGCAGCACCCTGCTCGCTGCATACTTGCCTTTGGGACCTTGGGGTGCCCGGGGGACGCCTGCCCTCCCACCTGAGGCTCTGCCCTTTTGTTCGAGCAGAAGAGACTGCCAGGTGTCCCGCAGCGCTGGGCCGCCCGGTGTGCTTGGGCGGGGAGCACTGGTCGCCGCCCGGGTGCCCAGGTGGTAGCTGGCGCGTCCCCTGGGCCCTTTGGTGCTTGCAGCCCCGCTCCGGGTGCCTGTGCTCCTGCCGTCCAAGAAGCGCGGGGGCGCTTAAAGTTGTCATGTTTGGGGACTGTTCCCACAGTGGTGGTTTGCATTTGAAGGCTGGCTCCTGGATGCACGGTTACAGTGGGGATAGTGGGGACCTGCGTGTGTGGCCGGGGCTTTGGGTCTGCCGTTCAGTGCTGCGGGGGAGTGTTGATCTTTTTCGCTAGTTTTCAGTTGTAGAAGACAGTCTGCTCTCAACTGACCCCCTTCCTAGGGCCTTTACAGCCTCTAGCGAGAGCCAGCTGGAAGATGCGTTTTGGAGGAAGCCCCTCCCTGCTCGCAGCAGGCCCCAGGGGTACTGGGGGACCTCGTCAGAAGTTAGTGAGGTGTTTGGAAGTCCTTTTCCAACCCCTCGAAAAATGTCACCTGGAGTGCAGTGCTAGTTCGGGTGTCCCTCGTCCACTTTCTCTTCGTGTGGCTAAAGTCGGGCTTGGTGGCCGTGTGGGAGCGTGATGACGATGGGCTGGTGGGCTGCGGTGGGGTCCCCGTTGGGGTCCCGGTTACCAAGAGCCCCAGGACGCGGAGGTGGGAATGCCTTCACCTGCTGGCTGCTGTCACAGTGGCCGCTGCCCGCGGACAGGAACATGTTCCCAGTTCCATGTGGCTGGACCCCCGTAATGTGTTACTAGAAGGGAAAGGAGCCATTTCAGGTCCGTGACTAAGAGCTGAGGGGACACCTTTCCTGTACGATGGCTGTGACCTGGATGGGGGTACAGTGTGCGTGTAAGGGACAGAGAGAGTGCCACGGGCCTCCTGAAGGAGGCGCTCCCCCCAGCTGATTGCCAGCCCCTTCCAGTGCCAGCCCTGGCATTGACAGGACATGCGCGGTGCCCGCCCAGCGTAGGGGCTGGGTGTTGAGAGCTCAGACTCCCTCTGGCTGTGGGCTCACAGATACGGCTCGCGCCCTCGGTGCTCCGTCCTAGCTGCCTCCAGGCTGTCTCCGCGGGGCTGGTTGTGAGTCTGGGCTTAGAGACACTGATGACCTGGTGACTGTCCCTAGTGATGACAGAAAGACCTAGGCCCCATAGGCCTGTCAGAGAGGCTGAAGGAGCGATGGGGAGTAGAATCCGCAAGAAGAGATTGGGGTACACGCTGGCATTTGGGCTGTGTTAACTCTACCACCGTGGGCGGGGTTCCCAGCGAGCCCCGGGCGGTAGTGTTCCCAGCGTGTGGGCTGTAGTAACATCCACTTGATGCTGAGGGAAGGCTGGGTGCTCAAGGCCCCGGCCGTTCTCCCTGCGTGTTCCTGAGCGGATGTGTTTGGGGAGCGGAGGCCAGGCCACGGTGGGCAGCAGCGTAGCCCAGTGTGGGGCAAGGTGGGGTCAGGACCCTGACGGGCGTGGTGGTGAGCCCTCCGGGCTCCCTGGGGGCATCCCTGGAGCTCCTGGGAGTCCGGCACGGCAGCTGGTGCGAAGCGGTGCCCACCCATGACGTGGCCTGGTTCCCGTCAGGCCCCACAGAAGGGGAGAGGCGTGGGGCGCTCCCATCTCCCTTCCTGGGATGGAACACACCAGGGCCCGCAGGCCACGCCCCCCTCCCCCCTCCGGCAGACCCTCCATGGTCTGGTCCTAGAAAGTTGCTGCACCCTGGTGCCCACGGGGCTGGGCCCCTGCCTCTGTACGTGTGTGGGGCCACCTGGCCTCCAGGGGCCTTGGGGAGACCAGCTGATGCGAGAGGATGGTCCTTCCCTGCCCAGGACAGAGTACGGAGGCCAGTCGCTCTGTCTTCACTCACAGCGTCCCCTGAAGACCTTTCCCTTTGAGCCGTGGGTCACTTGCCGCTTCCCAGCCCCGTGGGAGGTGTCATTCAGCGCAGCCTGTGGCCTGCCCTTGGGGGCGCCCCGTGGGGATGCACGTGGGTGTTGCTGGGGCTCCCCCACTGATCACCAGTGTCGCCAGGTTCTGGCCTGCCAGGTGCCTGGGCCAGAGCTCAGTGTTTCTGAGCATGCGCGCACGTGTGTGTGTGTGTGTGTGTGTGTGTGTGTGTGTGTGTGTGTGTGTGTACAACTCCCCAAAGCCCCCTGGGCCCTCACACCCCTTGAGAGGCACCCCTAGCATGGCAGGGGG